AGGAAGAGGAATCTTAAGCATGCATATCATGAACAAAAGCTGTCTCTGAACTACTCATTCAAATGTGAACTCGTGTCTAGTAAACAACGGATTATGTACACTAGATTCTACTTTTTTCATAGGAATAAGAGCAAAGTTTTTTTTAGATAAAAACACCGAAATATGACAAATATTTCATTCACACTTGAAGACCTGTAGAATTTTATGTCTCTTTGTGAGAAGTCACAGTAGTCAAGAAGAATAACTTATTTTCTTTTAAATTAACGAATGTCATGGTGGTTAAGGGTGGGGTGGGGTGCAAAGAAAGAACTTGGCACGGAGATGTTCAGAGCCTGTTGCAAAACCAACTGCAAGCCAAGTATGATTCCAGAAAGACAAGAACCACCTGTCACAACTGAAAGGGGGAGGGAAAATGGGGGACAGGAGAGAGTTTTTTGTGTGTATGTGCTGGTCCTGGGGCTTAAACTTAGGGCCTGGGCTTTGTCATTGAGTTTTTTGTTTGTTTGTTTGCTTGCTTTTTTGTTTTGTTTTGTTTTTGCCCAAGGCTAGTGCTCTATCACTTGAATCATATTTCCACTCCTGGCTTTTTGCTTGTTAATTGGAGATAAGAGTTTCATGGGCCTTCCTGCCCAGGCTGGCTTTGGACTATGATCTTCAAATCTCAACCTCCTGTGTTAGCTACTAGGATTACAGGCATGAGCCACTCTCACCTGGCTAAAAGAGAGGTTTTGAAATATGAACTCAGAAGATGACCTTAAAAATAATTTACCCAATTCTAAAATAAATCAACTAAAGGAACATAGTTACTTCTATCAAATACATTTGAGTATGGCATTGTCTGTGTATTAAGCATTGAAAACCACACAATTATATGTATATATATTCCTGTAGTCAGTCAGAAGTATAAGGTTTGTTACAGAGCCTGAGTAATCTATCTAGAGCTTTACCTGGAATCTGAGTCCTGATAATAACCCTTGTGTAAGAGGGGCTATATCAGATGAAGAATTGAAACAGAGCTAAAGAGCAGGGTCAAAGTCACACAGGAAGAGATGGAGTCAAGATTCACTCAGTTCAGATCAACAGCTGAGCTGTCAATATCTCTGCAATCCTGTTTGCTACATAAATGGACACTGTGATCTTTGGAGAACTTTGTTCCTTAGAACTGGAAAATAAATCACAAAGAATCTTCAAACAGCTTATGTTTAAATGTACCTCAGGCTGGGAAGGTAGCTCAGTGGTAGAGTGCTTGCCTAGCATGCATGAAGCCCTGGGTTCAATTCTTCAGTATTACATAGACAGAAGAGGCCAGACGTGGCACTGTGGCTCAAGTAGTAGAGTGCTAGCCTTGAGCAAAAGAAGTTCAGGGACAGGGGCTGGGAAGGTGGCTCAGTGGTAAAGCGCTTGCCTTGCATGCATGAGGCCCTGAGTTCAATCCTCAGCACCACATAAGCAAAAAGAAAAAAGCCGGAAGTGGCGCTGTGGCTCAAGTGGTAGAGCGCTAGCCTTGAGCTGAGGGACAGCGCCCAGGCCCAGAGTTCAGGCCCCACGACCGGATCAAAAAAAAAAAAAAAAAAGAAGTTCAGGGACAGTACCCAGACCCTGAATTCAAGCCCCAGTACTGACAAAAAATAAAATAAAATAAAATAAATGTACCTCAAATTGTCCATGAGACTTTCTCAAGAGCAATGAAGCACCACCTTTGAGTGAGAAAGCTAAAGGACAGTATCCTGTTCCTTAGTTTAAGCCCCACTACTGGAAAATAACAAAAAAGTTCATTAAGAAAGGGCAAGGGAAAGGGACAAGGCCAGGGGAAGGAGGTAAGGTGTGTGGCCTATGTCTTAAGAGTGTAAAGTGTTAAACAGAATGTAAGGCCCTGCTACTGCAAAAAAGAAAAGATGCATTAACAACTATTAGGGCTGGGTGTGTGGATTAGTGGTAGAGTGCTCGCCTAGTGGGCACGAAGCCCTGGGTTCCATTCCTCAGTACCACATACACACAAAAAGCCAGAGGTGGTGCTGTGGCTCAAGTGGTAGAGTGCTAGCCTTGAGCAAAAGTAGCTCAGGAAGTGTCCAGGCTCTGCCCTGGGGGAAAAAATATTATTAAGACCGTAATAGCACACTAGTGAACAGCTAGAGGTGATGAAAATCCAAGTCTAGATAAAATGGTTAGGGAAAAATAGTTTTGCTTGGGGCAAAACAGTCTACAGAGATCCGAAAATAAGATTGTTTCCAAGTTGAATATACAATGTTTCATTACAAAGTACTTGAGACAGCCTTCTTGGTAACAATGTAACACAGAAAGGGAGTCTTTTTTTAAAAACACTTTGCAAAGGAAAAAAATTGATTTCATAAAATCATGAGGTCTATTCCTTTTCTTTTGTTTATGTGTGTTGTTATGTGTATGTTTGAACGCTGGGCCTGGGCACTGTCCCTTTGCTTTTCCACTCAAGGCTGGCACTCTCCACTTGAGCCACAGATCCATTTTCAGCTTTTTTGCTTGCTAATTGGAGGAAAGAGTCTTAGGAACTTTCCTGCTTAGTCTGACTTCAAACTGTATTGCTCAATTTTGGCCTCCGGAATAGATAGATATAAGCCATCAGCACCTGGCCTTTTTCTTTCTTTTATTATTATATTTTTAGTAAGTAGTTGTGAAAAGGTGTTTCATTTCTACAAGTCAGATTATAAGTACAATGCCTATCAATCAACGACACCCCTTACAATATTCTCACCCATCTTTCCCCACTCGTACCTTTTTTTCAGAAGATGAGCTCTTGCTATGTTACCTATGCTGCCCCAGAGCTCCTGGAGTCAAGGGATTCTCCTGTGTAGACCTCTGTAGTAGCTCAGACTACAGGTGTGCTCCACCCAGCCCCACGCTAGGCCTCATTTCTTATTCTACTCTTTTCTTTCCTCCTTCTTTTCTTTTTTCTTTCTGTCTCTCTTTCCATGCCCATCCTGGGGCTTGAACCAATTTGCACAATCCCTGATTTGTTTTGCTGAAGGCTAGCCTTCTAACACTTGAGCCACAGCTCCACTTGCAGCAATTTTTGTTGTTGTTGTTTATTGGAGATAAGAGCACATAGACTTTTCTGCTGGGGCTGGCTTTGAACTGTGATCCTCAGGCCTCAGGCTTCTGAGTAGTTAGAATTACAGGCTTGGGCTACCAGCACCCGGCAAGGTCTCATATCTAAGGAAATTAGAGGAGTGCCCTTTCCAGGGATGGGCTATACACGGTCCAATTGGTGTTAGGGTTATTGGGATTCCACCAAAGATATCCTTAAATTATCTATTTAAAAACTCAGCCGTGTGAGGACTTCTTCAAGGGAGAGGGGGGTATATGCTAAACACTGCTACCTGCTAAGATTCCTAAGAGCTTTGTTCTTTACCTCATCTTCCAAACAAAATGGTAATGATCAGGAAAGCGAGCAGAACTATTCCGCCCTAGAAAAACTTCATGAAAGGGCGAACAGAACCCACCCCCGCCCCCTCCAATGTCAGCACACCCAGGTCAGCCATTCGGAATTCTGCTCTTTACAGAATAGCTTCTCCAATACCGAACGGTCCACTTGGAAATGTCTTCGAAGCAGAGGAACTTGCAGGAGACAATTGGGCATCTGAAAGTGCAGATTCGGTTCTTACTAGCGAGAGGTAGAGCCAGGGTCAGTGGGGAGAAGCTCATCTTGGATGGGCCAGCTGCCCTCCCCTGCGCAGTCCACGTGGCCAAAGTAAACAGAAGGTGGACCGGGCGGTGAGCCACCCGAGTGAGTCCATTTCCTAGTGTGTGCAGACTTTAATAACCCAGGTCCCTACAGCTCGACGGGGCAAAGCCCTCGACGGAGATGGGGAGCGCATCTGCTGAGCGAGAGACAGTGACAGGTCGCTGGGGCACGGGCTTGTGGACGCTAAAAGGCGATGGAGTGAGGGGGGGGAGGGCCGGGATGGGTGCAAGTAGGTGGGGGTGGGGAAGGGTGGGGATCAGGAGAGGGCATGCGGGGGGGGGCCTGCCTGGGGCGAAGAGAGGGTGCTGTGGGAGCAGGAGCGAAGTGGGTGCCTGCGTGGGTCCCCCTTAACAAAGAAAAAGGTGACCTAGCAAAAGTTTCAGAGGGCAATCAGCGCTCTCCATATCCACCTCCAGACACCCCATCACTTCCCATAGTCCCGGCCCTGGTCTGCTCTGGGGAGGACCAGGGCAAGGAGCGCAGGACAGCTCTGCATCCACACCCCCTCCCCGGCCCCCAGCCGGTCCATCTTCCTTACTCTGGGTACTCACCCCCCCCATCACCCCACCGCACTCCGCACGCATCCGGGGCACCCCCACTTTCTCTCCGCTCCTCCTCTCGACCGTGCTCCCCCAGTGTACAGGCCCCCCACACGCCCCGGGGCAGAGGCACTGATCCCTGGAGAGCTGAGGCTGAGCGCCCCAGGGTGGAGTAAGGAGGAGACCCGGGAGGAGGAGGAGAAGGAGGAGGAGGAGGAGGAGGAGGAGGAAGAGGAGAAGAGGCAAAGAGGAGGAGGAGGAGAAGAAGAGGCAAAGAGGAGGAGGAGGAGAAGAGGCAAAGAGGAGGAGGAGGAGGAGGAGAGGCAAAGAGG